CTGGAAGCCACAAGCCTGGTTGCTGCATCAGCTGCTTACATGGAAATGAATCCTGTGCCCAGGTGACATCCTGGATCCTGGGCTGTATGGGCAGAAAATCTGAGTACTGTTAAAATGGAGCATGACTAATTTAGAAAAGTGATGAATGCTGCTGCTCCTATCAGCACAGGCTCTAGACTGAGCAACAGCTCTTCGTATCCAGAGCTGCTGTCACACATACTTACATGGTAACCTCATGGATTCCTCATCCCTGAAAATGTTCAAGACCAGGTTGGATGGGGCTTTGAGCAACCTGGTCTAGTGGAAGGTGTCTCTGCCCAGGGCAGGGGGTTGTAGCTGGAGGAGCTTTAATGTCTTTCCCAGCCCACACCAGTCTGGGATTCCATGGTTGTAACATTCAGCTCATGGTGCTAGTGGTGCTGCTGGGGCATGGGCACCCCCTGCTAATACCCATGTCTCTTTGAGCCTGGTGTCCCAGAGGAGCTGAACTTTCCTCCCGCCTGTCTCTGCAGGGAGACACGAGAGCCAGGAGCCGTTCCTGGCCTGGCTGCTGCTGCTCAGCAACATGTCCTCGCTGCCCTGGGTGCACTCCGTGAGCTACGGGGACGATGAGGACAGCCTCTCGGTGGCCTACATGGAGCGCGTCAACGTGGAGTTCATGAAGGCGGCTGCCCGTGGCTTGACCATCCTCTTTGCCTCCGGTGCGTGCTGGTGCTGGGGCCCTGGCACCAGGGTGTCCTGGCATGCTGGAGAGTTCTATGGTGGGGATGTTCTGCGTCAGGGCAGCCACGATCCACCTGGGAATGCTGTCTGGGATAACCCTGTCCATCTGTGCTGGCAGGTGATGATGGTGCGGGGTGCAGGAGGGTGCGCAGTGGGAACCACACATTCCGGCCCAGCTTTCCAGCCTCCAGGTAGATGTGGGGAGAAGAACCTGGGTCCTGTGGAGACCTGGGGCGCTGTGCAGAGCTGCTGCTGCTGGCACTTGGAGCCCTGGCCTCGGCCCAATGCCTATGTGGGGCTGGTTTTGAGCTGCTGTGGGGACTCCTGGTGTCACCCCGCTGGAGCTAGGCGTGCTGGGAGGGGGCTGGTGTGTGGGGTGACCCTGCAGTGCCCCCCGTGTTCCCCCAGCCCCTATGTCACCACTGTGGGTGGAACGTCTTTCAAGAACCCTTTCCTGGTGACGGCCGAGGTGACTGACTACATCAGCGGTGGTGGCTTCAGCAACGTCTTCCCCATGCCCCAGTACCAGGTGAGGTGGCGCTGGGCCTCAGGGTGCTTGGTGGGGTGATGGGGGGCTCCAGGGGCTGGAGCTGAGCCCGTGTCCTGTCCCCAGGCTGCTGCCGTGGGGCAGTTCCTGC